CAGAAGGTCAATATGCCCACAGTTGAGAAACCCTGTCTACCCAACCTTGCTTCCTACATTTCCCTTTTATAGGTGTTTGTCCCAAGGTCATTTCTTAATAAAATCCTGTACCCTAAACTCCATTGTTGAATCAGCTTTCTGGGGAACAGTTACAATAGGATCTATAAGAAACCATTTGGTTTTATGTGTGTGTGTATAAGAAAGAGTGTGGTATGTATGTGTTTAAATGTATTAGTATATAACGAACCTGGAAGGTCATACACTAAATACAGAGGTTATTTTAAGTAATGAAAGTGTTTCTTGTTTTTCCTTTGTGCTTAAGTGCCTGTGTTTTCCGACATTTGTGTTTTTGTTCTTGTGTTTTTCTTCCTGTGGTTTGTTCTGTGAGTGAAACACGTTACTTTTGCAATTTGGGGAAGGAAAATATGGCAATTACAAACAAAGGGGACATGGTCAATAGTATCAAACACTGCAGAGAGGCCAAATAATACTAGATAGTAGATAGGAAGAAATCAGCAGAGAACCTTGGTGAGACAGCTGTGCTATAGTGGACGTGTTACAAGAAAAATGGCAGTGGGCTGCCCTGGCAGGTTTGGCTCAGCGGTTAGAGCATCGGCCTGCGGTACAGAGAGACCTGGGTTCGGTCCCCGCTAAGGGCATGTACCTCAGTTGCAGTTTGTCCCCGGCCCTGGTTGGGTCATGTGGGTGGCAACCACTCGATGTGTCCCTTTCACGTCGATGTTTCTCTCTCTCTCTCTCTCTCTCTCTCTCTCTCTCTCTCCCTCCCACTCTATCTGAACAAAATATCAAAAAATGTCCTCGGGTGAGGATAAAAAAAAAATTGTTTTGCCCTGGCCGATTTGGCTCAGCGGTTAGAGCGTCGGCCTGCGGTACAGAGAGACCCGGGTTCGGTTCCCGCTAAAGGCACGCACCTCAGTTGCGGTTTGTCTCCGGCCCTGGTTGGTAGTGCGGGTGGCAGCCACTCGATGTGTCCCTTTCACATTGATGTTTCTCTCTCTCTCTCTCTCTCTTCCTCTCTCTCCCTCCTGCTCTATCTGAACAAAAAATGGGAAAATGTCCTCAGGTGAGGATAAAAAAAAAAAAGAAAAGAAAAATGGCAGTGGGTTGAGGGGAAAGAAGGCGAGAAAATCAAAGTAGGCCATTTTTTTACAGAAATAGGACCACAAAGAGAGGTTGAAAAATAGAACAGTAAGGAGTGAGAGATGAAACATCAACCAAAACTATTGTAAAGGTCAGAGAGCCTGAGCAAGGTTGATGCTGATGAAAAAGGGGCTGGGAAAGAGAGAGGTGCTGACATAAGAGAGAGGTGCATAACCGAGGGGGCAAGGTACCTGTGAGGACGTGGGTTTGGACGCAAAGAACACATGAATGGATTGGCCTAGGCTGAAGCCAAGAGACCTCGTCTTCTAAATCAAGAGGCACGGTGAGTACAGAGTTCAGACCACGATACATTTTGAGGTGATAAAATCTACACCGGGTCATCTTTATTTTTTCAGTAGGAGGTGAGGTCATCCACTAAAATAGTGTCTGGGTGGTGGGGCAGGAGCTTGCCAGAAAGGTGAAACTGAAGGGAAACTTGAGAGGCCTGAAGCCCAACCTGCTAGGGAATGCTCCTAGGAAACTGACTTTTCCTTTACCCAGTTTCAAAATAAAATCTCGAGTGTTAGCACCACCTATGTGACCAAGGCAAGGGGAATGGCTCCCAACAAGTTTCTCCACGATACTCAGGTACCAGAGGGGTGCTGGAGGGATCTAAAAAGCCCCATAAAGTTAGCTATTGCTTCCCACACCTGACAGGATCATCCACTCCTGTACATCTCTGAGGGGAATTTTGGGGCCCCGTATCGCAGTCTGGGATTATTCTGTGCTACTTCCTGCTTTAGGGAATGGCCTCTGTAGATTTCCTTGCCATGGGGTTTGAAGAAACTACAGCCTATCACCAAGCCTTTTGGCATACCTCAATCTGATCGCCAGCTGTTGGGACAAGCAGGAGCAGAATTTTCCAGAGTATAAAAAAAGAAGACATGTCATGCTGCAGCTGGAGCCTCGTTTTCTCCTACCTCTGACGACCCACGCCTCCCAGACATGCCTCTCCCACCCCCAGGATACACTGATAAGAGATTGCTGTGGCATATGGCCCTAACAGACCGTGGAATTTTTAGGTGCTCCATTAAAAGGAATGGTTCTCAACTGGGAGCAATTTTGCCTCCCTTCTCAAGGGAGATTTGGCAATTTTGGTTAAATATCCTACAATGCACAGGGCACCCCCACAAGGAAGAATTGTGCAGCCCCAGACCTCATAGTGCTGAGGGTGAGAAACCCTGCTTTAAAGATTTCCTCATCTGTAAGGACCTTTAAAAGTCTTGATAAAATCCATATAAGGGCTATTACTAATTTGAGGTTAATGCCCTATTTTAAAAATCAAAGAAAATGCCAGACAACAGGGTAACAAATGGTAGGATTTATAAATTTCCACAGGATGGCACTAAAACACTTGTAAAATCCAACCTTCTCAAGTCACCATTTCAGAATCCAGTTTCTCACTCACCCTGGTCAGTTCTCTGGAGTAGCAAATGCCCATTCTTTTCAAAAGGGATTATCATTTGCTCATGCTTAGTGTTCCCCACCACCGATACTTCTATGCAAATAAATTAAAATGATTAATGACTAAAACTTAGCATGGAAGAAAAAAAAAAAAAAAAACCAGGGACACCTTCTCAATCAGCTACCGAATTTCCACTCCATGTAGCAACGAGGATGTGAAAGCATCTGCTAGCTTCTTGCCACCTTCTTCAGCTAACTTTTGGCTGGGAACCTGGCCAGCAGACAATTTCAAGACTCCACTACCCTTAGGATGGTTGGATGATGAAGCTCTGGCCATTAGTGAGATGGAAGCAAAAGTGTTGCTGGAGACTTCCAGGTAGTACACTTAAAGCAGTGGTTCTCAACTGGGGTGACTTTGCCCCCAGGGGGCATTTGGCATTGTCTGGGCCATTTTTACTTGTCACAGCTGGGGGATGCTACTAGCATCTCATAGTCAGTAGACACCAGGGATGCTGTTAAACTTCCTACAATATACAAGAGAGCTCCAAAACACAGAACCTTAGAGAGACAAGGCTTGCCACGGCTTCCCTTACCGCTCTTCCCCCTGGGTACAAGTAAGGTACAATGTTGTCCCATCTTGGGCCATGTGGGCCAAGGCAACAAACTAGGGAGCGTGAAGCAACAAGATAGGTGGAATTTGAGTCCCTGGCCTGGTGGATCTACCTCACCACTCTGAACATCTTCCATGCAGAGAGACAATATAAACATACACTCATGGTACTATAGTATATATACTCATAGTACTCCAGTAACTGCTCTACCTGAAACATATCTACTCTAGGCCTGCTTCATTCTGCCTTTCCCAGGGGTCCTTCAGCTTCTCCCTATCTTACCCCTCATCTTTTCTTTCTTTCCTCCCCTGATGCAGTTTCTTCCATAAGACAGAGATTTTGCCAGTCCCAATTGATTTATCAGCCTCAATATATACCTGACTCTTCCCAGAAGACATCACACTCCTACCATTCCCTACCCCCCATTCTATCCATAGACACTTCATTTTGTCCCACATCCATTTCCTAAACAGTAGAGGAAGAATCCTGTCTAAAATAATATGCCTCAATATACAAACACTTTCTGGCCCTTATCTGCTAGATTTTTTTCATATAACTTATGATGTACAATTATATTATCTGTTTATTGCCTATGCTCTACTCAACAGTGTTAATTTTCTGAGATCAAAAAATGTTCACCACTGTATATCCAGTGAATAGAATACCACTTTCTGATAGACATATATAAATAGATAATGCATGCCACATGTATCATTTTAAATGTTTTACTAGCCATGTTAAATAAAAAAGATAAAGGTGACGTTCATTTTAATCTTATATTTTACCTAAATAGGCCTTCCCTAACATGCTCTCACTATTACAAAATTAGATTTTTATATTCTTTTTCTCATACTAATTCTTCAAAATCCTATGTAACTTACCCTTACAGCACATCTCAATACAGCTGCATTTCAAGCTGTTAACAGACACGTGTATTGAGTGGCTGCAATGGTCAGTGCAGATATAAAATAATACTTGAAGATAGTAGGCATCCAGTACATCTTTGTTAATGTTCTTCTATACTACTTGATTCTTCTATAGTACAATAATAGTATGACAATAATGTCCACACCTTTAATTTCACCAAATTGACTTAGCCATCTCCTCTAATTAGGCATTTATTTCCAGTTTTTACTTCTTAAAATAATTCGAAAATGAGCATCCAGTGCACATCTTTTTCCCTGGAATAAATTCCCTGAAGTGAAAATTCTAGGACTAAAGTATGCACCCTTTTAGGGCTCTTGCCACATTTTGGCAAGTTACCCCAGAAAGAATTATGCCATTTACACTTCAGTGGTTTATACTTGGTTATTAAAGAATCCTCTGCCATACAAACAGGGCAAGTATTGCTGATGATTGTGATGAGAAAAATAATGTTAGTAGGCACTGTACACTAGGTATTCGCATCTTATGGGCGAGAACCTGAGGCTCAGGGAGGTCTGCGCTAGAATCGCGCTCAAACTCAGACCTGGGTGACTATTTACAAAGCTCGGCCGTTTTCCTCCTGAGTCACGACCACCCTCCCTTGGGAAGAGCGAAATGTCAAGAGCCAAAAACTACTGCAGGGTCGGGGGCCATGCAGAAACGACCCTCGTTTTCCCGTTCCGTTCCGCCACACCGGCCGATGCGGATACTGCCGCCGACCCGGGCGCTGCACACAGGACCTCGGTACCCACCAACCTCCACCACCGATTCCCACGCTCAGCCCGAGAGCCAGGCCCTCCTCCTGCGCCCGCCCCACAGTGTGGGGCGGAACTCCGCGCGGATGTAGCGTCAGCCGCGGCGTGGGCGGGACATCCGGCGCTCAGAGCCCCGAATCGGAAGTACGCGTCTAGTCGCTCCGGCAACAGCTCCTCCCACTCACCATCCACAGGAAGTAGACCCCAGCTATCCCACCGCCCAGGATCAGCAAGCCAGGAGCCCACGAGGTGACTCCGGGGACGGCTGGGTTGTCTTTGGGAAGTGAATTGGAAGCTGGCTTCCTTTGAGGCCCTGGGAGCTGAGGGCTTGGCTGTCACGTTATTGTAGTAATTATCCCGCGTTAAAAAGTGGGACCAGAGGCCCCAGAGGTTCCTAAACCATTGCTGGTTATTTGTGATAAGGGAGGGTTCCTGAAGCTCTCAGCTCAGACGTGCATCACAATCACTGGGTGACTTCTAAGAATTCTGATGCACGGGTCCTTATCCCAGATTAAACTCGAATCCCCAGAAGTGAGGCCCAGGCATCGGTGTTTTTAGTAAAGCTACCCACGTGATTCTGATGTGCCAGTGACGTTGTGTTAAGCTAGGTCTGGAAGGTGAGTTCGGACTGCCCTTACAGCCCAGTATCTAAACAGACGATCGCCCAAGGCAGCTTCATTCTTGGAGGGATGTCTAGGATATTGTTCCGTCTACTCAAAAATTGGGGGTTTTCTTTCTTTTCCCTTGCACTTTGCCTTCTTTGGGAAGTCAGGGGTTTAAGTGGAAATTATGTGAAGAACATTTGCACCTGTGGTGTTTTTTGTGCCTTACCTGTGGAGGTGGGGAACGTCTTTGCCCTTTTTTTTTCCCTCAGTAATTGAATTGAGCCAGTAGCCAATGAAGTACTTTTAGCTTTGAAATCCAGAAAGTCCTTTGATACAGACCAGTTGGTTCTGAACAATTTTTTTTTTTTCAGAATGATTTTTAAAGTTGTTTCACAGACTAGGTTCTGTATTCAGCTCTCTCTTACCTGAAATAAAAACAGCATTACTTGAAAGTCCAGACTAAAGATTAATAACACAAATAAGACTTCTGAGGTTATTTACTCTCAAAATATACAGTTTATAAACTTAGTCCTTTTGGGATGGCAATGCAAACAGAAAACTATATTTTGAAAGATTTGGATAAACATAACTGAAGGAAAGTTCACTCTAAGGTGTACAAAAGTCCTATGTGTGCTCATTGCTTTTCTAGGAAAGTATATTAACTAAGGCTCCAGAGAGAAATTTTCATTCTAAAACTGCTATACAGATGGTGAAGGATTATTGTGTTTTTTTAGGATCTACCACTGAAGGATATGGTGAGATGAGAGGGATGGAGGAAATTGAACAAGTGAGCTGGAGGAGAGGTTGGAGAGTTTGCAACTGGTTACAGAGCTCCTGGAACTACAGCTCTGCAATAGGAAATCCAGCTACAGAACAGTGAAGAGAGTGAACAAGTGAAGAAAGTATAACTATAGTTGGTCAGATGATTTGAAAACATTAATGTATTTAAATAACGTCTGCTTTCTGAAAAGATTTGGGGCTTTATAATAAACTCAGAGTTATTTGAGAGATGAGCTACTCAGTGATTTTAGGGAGGGTGGAGGTAGGAGGAGAGTGTTATCAGAAAATGACAATCCCAACAGTATCCAAGGACAGGAAGTATTAGCTATGAATTTTATACTGGAAGGAAAATAGGACATTTAAAAGAAATAGATTGCAGAATCCATGCCTACAGGTAATTGATTAAACACCCAAATGAGTGCTGTATACATTAAGAAAAGAGAGTTACATGAAATTACCATGTGTGTATTTATAGAAGTAAAATTTGAAATAAGGCTTCTGAAATCTTGTGGTCTGATGGTCTTAACCACTTTAAACTGGTCATGGGTTTTGCTGGTAGGCTCTTCACTTGCACTACCTGACTGTTCAATACTTATTCCTTTATGATCACACTAGGTTTTACTGTATGAAGGATATACTAGCAGTGAAGAGATCTTAATGTTTTTCCTCTTATGAGTTGTATTATTATGTCCTCAGTTGTCCCCATTTTTCAGTTACCCCATTGCCTGTTATGTTCATGAATCAGAGAGTAACTTTGTTTTTGGGTATACTCGTATTTCACTTCTGATTCTGACATTAGTCCCATGGGGATTTGGTGAACTTTTAAATAACTGCATTCACAAATCCATCACTCTTGCTGACAAATCAAACAGTTCTATTCTGTGGGTAGAATGTTATTTGTGTTAAAAAGAAGAATGAACTACATCCTTTCAGTCTTTCTCCTTCCACAGGGTCTGCTTCTTTGTAACATTACTTATTGCATCATCCAGAAGAGAGTAAACTTGGGTTTGGAGTTGGGGGAATATGGAAATAAAACTCCATTTGCGGGCTCCCTTGCCCATCAGTTTCACTGGTGGCCATCAGAGATAGAAAAGTGTTGGCTTACTGAACACAGAAGCCTATGCACTTCTGGGAGGCCTGTGTCTGAAAGATGGAGCTTGGACTGCTGAGAGTAGACGACCATTCAGACTTTAGCCATCTTTGAGGTTCAAAACAGTAATCAGGAACCATACAAAGCCACAGGAGGGAGCCAGATGAACTTGCCAGCCTTTACACAGCTGGGGATGGAAGCAGGAAACAGTGCTCTCAAAAAACCCTCTTTTCACTATTTCTCTTAGGTGAGGAAGTTCCTACCAGTGTGTGCGTTATTGAAAACATCTACTTCGATAGGATTATTACTGCATATACAGATTCCTTGGAAACTCATGCCTCAATTTATGTCATTCAGATTTCTCACTGTACATTTATTTTGAACAATCTCCAGCAGGCGCCCCCCCCCCCTTTCCTTGTACCTTGAAACAGTGTACTGAAGGCCTAATTAGATCCCTGGAATTATCTCATTGGCTCAGAGAACCAAATCAGTTGGGAGCCTTATAGGACTGGTTCAACTTTCAGGGCTTTAACCAGCATGACTTATTTAATAACTGACTTTTTGTGTGTTTCATATGCAAAAATCAAAGCAGATTAATTTTTATATGTTTACATTTTAGAATTCTAGTGGAAAACAAAATGAGGAAAATCCGGTTACAGATTTATCATTTTGAGGGAAATTTGTGGTTTTGTTTTATTTATCTGGTTGCTGTGAAACACCCTAGATCCTGTATTTATAAGAATATAAATATGCAATGAAAAGAAGGTGTGTGATGCCACCAGCTTTCAACAAAGCCACATTACTTATTTGTGGAATTTTTAAAATAATTTGATGGAAGTAGTCACAGTGCATCCATTGACAGCTATAAAGCTCTTGTCTGTTGTTATTCATGTATATTTATGCATTTAAAAATATATCTTCCAGGATAAGCAGATTTGGTGAAGAATGAGTACATTTTTAAAGCAAGGCTTTATAGGAAAATATATTGTTGATGACTCAGAGGCGCTGTCTTGCCTGTGGGCCTCGGCAGTGTTCAGTGAATGACCTCAGTGCTGTTTTTATTCCTTCCTTCTCTAGTGGTTGAGAACAGACAATGAATTCAGTCTCTACTTGCCAGGGCTCAGCTGGGTAGTGACTATTATGCCATTGTACTCACTGGGGAGGGCTGCCCGGTTGGTAGTGCTGTGGGTCCCAGCCTGCCCTGACATTGCCAATCTCTTTTCTTTCAGCTGCACCATCCCATTAGAAAAAAGTTGCTGTTCAGGCCACAGAGTGGGCTATATAATAGAGTAGGGGACACTTCCAGGGAGGTAGAGAATGAAAAATAAAATTTAAAAACAAGTGAAAAGGCATCTAAGTCTGCTGCAACCATAGCTTTCTTTTCTTTGAGATGATAGTGGTGTCTGATGGTGGTGCTGCTAGAATGTTTAGAATTATTTTTTTTTTAATTTTTTAATTAATTTATTTTTGTTACAGATGTTTCTCCTTTCCCCCCCACTGATTTCCCCCACTCCTCCCTCCCCGCCCTGTCCCCAGGTTTGTTGTCCATGTCCATTGTTCATGCACACATGCATATAAGTTCTGTGGTTTCTCTCTCCCCCACCACCCCCTCTTCTGGGGATAGTCAGTCTGTATCCCACTTCCATGTCTCTGGGACTACCCCATTCCTCAGACTGTTATGTTCATTATATTCCACAAATAAGTGAGATCATATGAAACTTGTCTTTCTCTGTTTGGCTTGTTTTACTTAGGATAATATTTTCCAGGTCCCTCAATGTCATCTCAAAGGATAAGAGATCTTTCTTTCTTACAGCTGCATACTACTCCATTGTGTACATGTACCACAGCTTTTTTATCCATTCGTCTACTGATGGACATTTGGGCTGTTTCCAGATCTTAGCTATTGTAAATAGTGCTGCTATGAACGTGGCGGTACATATATTCTTTCTGATTGGTGTTTCAGGCATCTTAGGGTATATTCCTAGAAGTGGGATCACTGGGTCAAATGGAAGTTCAATTTTTAATTTTTGAGGTAACACCATATTGTTTTCCATAGTGGCTGCACCAGTCTGCATTCCCACCAGCAGTGTCCTAGAGTCCCCTTTTCTCCACACCCTCGCCAACACTTGTTGTTTGATGATTTGTTGATGGCGGCCATTCTGACAGGTGTGAGGTGATACCTCATTGTTGTTTTAATTTGCATCTCTCTTGATGATTGGTGACGTTGAGCATTTCTTCATATGTCTCTTAGCCATTTGTATGTCCTGTTTGGAGAGGTGTCTATTTAGTTCCTCTGCTCATTTTTTAATTGGGTTCTTTGTCTTCCTTTTGTTGAGTTGTATGAGCACTCTATGTATATTGGAAATTAACCCCTTATCTGATATATCATTGGCAATGATGCTCTCCCATACAGTGGGTTGCCTTTCCATTCTGATGATTGTATCTTTTGCTGTGCGGAAGCTTTTGAGTTTTATGTGTTCATTTTCTCCTTTGTTTCTGTTGCCTTCAGTGAAAATGTAGCAGAATATGTATTCTGCTACATATGATGTCTGAAATTTTGTTGCCTACATTTTCTTCTAGGATTTTTATGGATTCATGAGTCACATTTAAGTCTTTTATCCATTTTGAATTTATTCTTGTGTATGGTGTAAGTTGATGGTCTAGTTTCATTTTTTTGCATGTAGCTGTCCAATTTTCCCAACACTATTTATTAAAGAGGCTGTCTTTACTCCACTGTATGCTGTTGCCACCTTTGTCAAATATTAAGTGAGCATATTGCCTTTGAGTCTTTAAATGTCTAGAATTATTGTAATGTTGACCTTTCAGAAATCCAGGTGTTTTTATTAAGTTCTTAAGCATTGTGCATGGAAAGAGTAACCAGCTTTAAATGTTAACAGGACCCTTCCGTTGGGAGCTTACTGATACAGCTAGCAGGGAAAGATATGTATTTCTTCTTCCAGTGATTAGACATTGGGAACTCTCCTGCTTCCTGTCTTTGTTGGGTCACTGTCTCGCATATGGCCGCTGGTAGAGTCCATCAGAAATCGTAGCACTGCATGTGCATTTTAAGCCCTGTGGATTGATACTGTTTTGCAGGAGTTTAAGGTCTTTTTTCATTAATTAAGTCTTTAAATGTCTGTGTAGATCTTTATTTAGTCATGGAGATGACTATTCTGTCCCAAATATTAGGAACTGGTCACCAAAATTGTTGGTCATAATCCCAGTTCTCTTGCTTCCGCTCGTCTTATTCAGAGTCTAAGTGTGAGAATCCGAAGATTCTCCAGTGATTTCCAAGTGGAAAGTGAGGAACAATTAGGATGCTCAGCATACTGAGGGCAGAGTATGTACAGCTTAATGATGTATGCACATAAAACAGATGGGCAAATGGTAGCCCTCGGCTTGTTTGTTGTTCTACATAGGAGCTAAGAACGGTGTTTGCATTTGTAAAGGGTTTTTTTTTTTTTTTTCCAATTGGAAAAAAGAAGAGAGAAAGACTGTATGTAGCCCATAAGCCCAAAATATTTACTAATTGGCCCTTTACAGAAAAAAAAAAAATTGCTGGCATAAAATACCCAGAGTAATTCTTTAGAAATTTGGAAATAGTGAGCTAATAATAATTATAAATTTCTATGTAAGCTGGTATTCCTTTAGATGTGTTTTTCTATACTTTATCTTATTTGATTTTTGAGAGATTAATTGATTGTCATTCATCCTCAGGAACTATTTTTAATTGACTATAGGATTTTAGGAATCTTAAAAATGAAATGTAAAAGGATGTGATACATAGGTTTTAGAATTTGAGGAGGGAGAATAATAAAGCCAAGGATGAAATGAGCATATTCGATATATAACCCCAGGCCTCTAAACTTGCTGGAGGATGGCAGCAGATTTCATTATAAATATCCTTAGTGACCAAACCAATGCAGAAAGCATAATCAGACTAAAATTGAGGACAAAGTTGCCTGTATTCCATCATTAATATAAATTCATCTTTCCTTGTCCTGGCCAGTTTGCTCAGTGGTTAGAGCATTGGCCCGTGGACTGAAGGGTCTCGGGTTTGATTCCTGGTCAAAGGCACATACCTAGGTTGCAGGTTCAATCCAGGGAGCATGTGGGAAGCGACCAGTCGATGTATTTCTCTGACATCGATGTTTATCTTCCTCTCTTCTCCCTGCCTCCGAATCTCTCCTTCTTCCTCCCTCACTCCCTTCCACTCTCTCTAAAAATCAATGGAAAAATATCCTTGGGTGAGGATTAACAACAACAACAAAAATTCATCTTTCTGCCCTGGCCGATTTGGCTCAGCGGTTAGAGCATTGGCCTACGGTCCAGAGAGCCCTGGGTTCAGTTCCCACTAGGGGCATGTACCTCGGTTGCAGTTTGTCCCCAGCCCTGGTTGGGTTGTGCAGGAGGCAGCCACTCAATGTGTTCCTTTCGCGTCAATGTTTCTCTCTTTCTCTCTCTCCCTCCCACTCTATCTGAACAAAAATGGAAAAATGTCCTCAGGTGAGGATAAAAAAAAAAAAATCATCTTTCCTTAGTGGCCTGAGTCTTAAAAGAGTCTAATCTAGCACTCTAGCTGATTCATTGATATACTTTTTAAATAGTTGGCACATTGGGCTGAATCAGAGCTGCTTCTGCTTCAAATGCTGAAATTAGCTTTCTTCAGTCATCTCAGCTCATTGTCCTGGTGTCTTTCTAGCAAAAGTGTTCAGTGTGCCTTGCATGACCTCTAAGGCATTGTAACATGGCAGCCCTTCTGTCAAATTATTTGTTGAATTTGTTGAAATAAGTAATCTCTCCTCAAATTAGTGCTTCCCCCCTTCTTTTTAATCACAGCCATTGACATTTGAGCAGCCTGGCAAACATGATGGATTACACTTGAGCTTCTTAAACAGTTGCCTACTTTAGCACATCTGCCTACACTTCTCACTCTGCAGAGTGGAGCTTCTCCTACGCCATCTTGTGCATTTTCAGAATATTGGTACTGTACTACTACTTTTAAAGCCAAGCTGGATTGTCCCAATTATAAATAGAAATGTGCTTTCCTGAGGTCTGCAGTAGTCTTCGATGACAATAATCTTCATTACATGTTTGAGGCTGTCAGACTTCTCAGTTTCGAAGAATTAATATTCACATTCATCTGGTTGTAAGTACATTTTATAAGGCATAGAAGTCTGGATTCAGAACTCTTCATCTTCAGAAGACATGCAGATGTCTCCTTGACTTTTCTCATTTAATTCCTATGCTTCTTGTTAATCTCTAAAACAAATTTGATTCAGATACACATGGAGTTCACTTTCATACCATCATGAGCTGTAGGCTCTCAGAAAAAGATTCACATATCAGTGATAGAAAGATGAAAACTGGCTGGAGTGAATTAGCCACTTACAGGCTGCACCTTATAGTTTCGCTCTCAAGTGTACACTGATGTCTGCTGTAATTTTATTTTGGGTTAGTTTTACTTCTCTGGATGATTAGCCCCTGAATCGTATCGACTGTTTTCTATTTCTTTAGTAGCCTGTCAATTAGAGTACCTAGCAGTTAGCCAGGTTTTCAGTTAATGACTCATGTTGTAAACCTTTAAATTATAGTTTAAAAGTAATGTGAACTGAATTTGCACTTACATTTTCACTGCAGCTGTTAACTTTTTTTCCAGGTTTACATTCACTGCATGTGTGTGTGTTTCTGAATTTAGAACAGTGAACAGGAAGTGTGGGTTATGTTTAAGATAAATTTACAGAAGGTCATGTCAGCCCTCTTGGAAATACCCTATTTGAAAGCTTATTATATTGAAAAAGAATGCAAATGGTTCTATTTTAGGTTAATCTTAAAAGAAGTGGTAATTTTAATGTCTCAGTTTTCAACATTACCCATAGCAAAACATCTGATCCAGATTATGAAATAAGGCAAGTTTATTTCTTAAGGCTTGGAGATTTTTAAATTCTACACTGTTATTAAGTGAAGTTAGGATAAATAGGACTCCTTCACTATCTGATTTCTAAAGTTTCAAATCCTAAGTAACTGCTAAGCGACACATTGTGTTAGTGATTTCATCTCACAGATGCCTAAATTCTCATGCACTTGAGAGTATTATTATTTTTGTTTAACTTTTTTAAGTGCATTCTGGTAGCTCTAAACTCCTGAACAAGAGGAAAAAATATGAAGTCTTTTTAAATAGGTTGTAAAAGGTGCAGATTGAACTTTACATTAGGTATTTCCTGTCATATCAGTAAATCACAAGTGCTTAGGTAGTGGGCAAAGGAGCAAATCCAGGCAGAGTAAGGCTGTTGGGCAAAGGCATTCTGCACGGCGGCTTGGTGGAGAGTCTGCATGGAACAATTTCTCCCCCTGCAAAGAGGCAGAATGGTTAGACAGGGAGAGCATGGTGTCACACGCTGGCTGAGAGGTGCTTTTTGCAGTCCAAACCAAAATAAGGTCCATGGAGGGGACCTAAAGTGCAGGGCACAACCCAAGCTGGCTTCTCCAAGTCCCAGTCCTAAGGCAAGACCCAAAAAAGGTTTCCAGTGAGTTGGTAAGATGTGCTGAATTGTATTCCAGCCTCAGGGATGTGCAAGTTTAATTTAAATAGGTTTTGGCATGAATTAAGGATTGGTAAATAAAATAATAGTTGTCAATTTGTAATTCATGCTCTGTATATTATTTTTATATACATACTATTTATATGGCTCTTTAAATTAACTTTACTTTCAATAGGGAAACAAGTTCTGTAGTTAAATCTCTAGATGTTATTGCATTTTAAAATCATGACCATTATGCTACTAGGGAGATCTTGCGTGTCTTTTAATAGTGCTGATGTCAAGTACAGCATAGGGAATACCATTAATAATATTGTGATAATAATGTACGGTGCCAGGTAGATACTGGAAATATCAGAGAGAACACTTTGTAAAGTGCATGATTGTCTAACCACTATGCTGTACACCTGAAACAAATACAAAATAATATTGAAAGGCAAGTGTAATTGAAAAATAAACACTAAAAAATTAGGGAAACCAGTACTTGGAAAATGGAGTGTCCTTTGAGCCACTTAATCATACCTAAGGGGATCCCTCCTTTTCAGACCACAAGGCCATGCCCAGGTGCCAGAGTCCCGTAGTGGTAAATTGTGTGAAGACCAGGCACAGTACTAGGAAAAGGCACCCTTGGAGGAGCTGCTTGGCAACTACAAAATAGCCATGAATATCACACACCTGTGCTGACCAGATGTTGCACTGTGGTTGTTCTTTCCTAGTTTCGGTGCCCATTTGGACTTTCACAATCAGAGATGGCAGCAGAGGTAAGATTTTTTTAACTTATAAGAGAAAAAGGTAAGTTTTGCTCTTTAAAGTATTGCTGTTCTCGTTTCATGATGGAGAAGACCAAAGAAATACATCAGAAACGAAAAGTAAAAGCACCCCTGGGTGTGTTGCTGGACATCTTTTTTCTCTGGCACTAAGCAGTAGGCTAGGCCAGCAGGCGTTTAGGGTGCGGAGAGGGAGAGACCAGAAAACATCCCAATCATTAGTCCATGTGATGCTTGGCAGGCCGTTTCTAACTTGGAAGTAGTTGTTTAATTACAGTGGATAGAAAGGGCCAAGGTAATACATGTCCTTATCTCTTGCTGCATCTTATCTAAAATGTTCATTATTAGTTTCGGTCCCACTTTTTTTTTATCCTCACCCGAGGACATTTTTCCACTTTTTGTTCAGATAGAGTGGGAGGGAGGGAGAGAGAGAGAAACACCGATGTGAAAGGTACACATCGAGTGGCTGCCACCCGTACAACCCAACCAGGGCCGGGGACAAACTGCAACCGAGATATGTGCCCTTAGCGGGAACCAAACCCGGGTCTCTCTGGACCACAGGCTGATGCTCTAACCGCTGAGCCAAACTGGCCAGGGCTTGGTCCCACTTTTTTATGGCCATATCATTAAGCTAATTGTCCTGTGTGTACCTCATGTTCACATACTTCAGAGCAAGTGTGCATACACTCAGTGTCCACTCTGGGCATGGCTCTGTCATATCCTCTTTAGCACAGTAGCATCCTAATATAGAGTAGGTGTTTAGTAGATACTCAGTAAATACGTGTTGATAAGTTGATTAAACATTTGGGGATTTCTCTTGAGGCTGAATTGTACTGTCTAGCCTGCACCTCCCTTTATTTTGTAGGCAGAATCATCAGAAACTACCAAGCCTTGGTCTTGTCATCCAGTATATGCAAGATACTGGCAACATTATTATCAAGCAATGGCTTGGATGCGAAGCCACCAGAATGCCTATCGGAAGGCCGTGGAGTCTTATTTCAGTTCCCCGTGGTACTTCACTTCTGGAGGTCTTCCCCAGAGCTGTTATGACCAGAAGGGTGGATCTCCTCAGTCCTTCTGTGACCCTCACTTGGCCTCCCAGGACTCCCACTGTGAGTATTCACATTCTCCAAGGCCTGGGAAGCATCCTCATGACAGCACAAGAAAATACCAAACTTGGGCCACAGAGGAGGAGGTGGAGACCGACTCAGATGAGGGGATAGAGTACGACCTGAGCAACATGGAGATCACTGAGGAGCTCCGCCAGTACTTTGCAGAGACCGAAAGGCACAGGGAAGAGCGGCGTAAGTGAGAGCTGCCTTCACATGCTTCCTCCCCTTGCCCTGCATTCTGCAGTTCATCTTTTCCAATCCATAAAGTTACTTTCTAACTCCTCAACTGGGTACAGATACTATTCCAAATCCAATCCCAAGCCTGGAAAAGCCATGGTGATACTACACCTCAATTATATTCGTTTCCAGAGCTGTTTGAATATAGGACTTGTTTTAGTTCTAGAACAAAGCTTAACCTGATAGTTTCTCTAACATTTATTGAATGTTGGAGACTCCACCAGATGGAGAGCGTGCGTGCGTCTGTGTGTGCACACCTGTGTTCCCTAATCTATACAACAGTCCCTCAAGGTATTAAACCCATTTTAAAAATGAGGAAAATGAGCCTTGAGAAGATCATTTGAGTTGTTCCATGGTACACAACTAATAATTTGCTGTCAGGAGTCTAAACAAGGTCTGCCTGACTCCAATTCCTGTGCTCCTTCCACATGCATAAATTTAATGGATTAGGTTTTGTCCCTAAGGCGGCTAAATTCCTAAAATACTGTTGCCAACTCACTGGCACGCAGCCCTGAGCCTTCCCTGGCACTGCAGAGCTGCCAAATCTTAAATATTAAGCTCCCTCCCCTCCAAGTAGAGATCTGTATGAACCTAAATAGAATAACAAAATGCCTGGTCCTTAAACTTTCCTAGTTGATCCTGCATTGAGACTGTGTGCCCTGGGGTTAGAGAATGTGATAGTGGTCTTAAACCTTTAGTCAGAAAACAGGAATTTGCTTTTTTAAATTTCTTACTACAAAGAGGTAGAAATGCTTTTGGTGCTCTTCTTACTATTGTGATTATCAGACCATTTACATTTTAAGTGTCTCTAATAGATATACAAGTATCTGTTATTTTCTCTCTATTATAACCAGTAGCCAGTCTCGATAGTGTTTGTATTGAGCTCTAATTATATGACATTTTACCTATAATTTTTTGTAAACAAATATAGAACCCTGGGAAGAGTCTCATTTCCATTTTGAAAGATCCATATTTTCATAATGATGAGCTTGCATTTATCGATCCCCCTGGGTGCCAGGAACTGAGTGATGAGCTTTGTGTAAAGTATCACACCCTTCTGTGTCTTTGCCCATCATTCTTCCTTCACTAAACTATTCAGGTTTCTTTTACTTCCCTTCTTTTAATTCGACTGTTGACTTCTTTGATGTGCAGTAGAAAGTATATTCAAACAAGTATTTTTAAAACAGTACTTTAGCCCTGGCCAGTGTGGCTCAGTGGTTAGAGTTTTGACCTGTGCACTGAAGGGTCACGGGTTTGAGTCCAGGTCAAGGGCACATACCTGGGTTGCAAGTTCGATCCCAGCCCCAGTCGGGGTGCATGCAGGAGGCAACCAATCAATGTGTATCTCTCACATCGATGTTTCTCTCTCCCTCAGTCTCCTTCTTTTCCCTTCCCTCCCTCCCTCCCTCCCTCTCTCCCTCCCTTCCACTCTTTCCCCCACAAAAAAAATCAATACCCACCCTTGATCTCGGACTTCTGACCTCCAGAACTGTGAGACAATACATTTCCATTGTGCTAAGCCACCCAGTTTTTGTATTCTGTAACAGCAGCCGTAGGAAACTATTACAATCACGCTGTGAGAATGGTCTTTGTTCCCAAATGCAGTCTGTGAGTGTAACATAAAGGGAACTGGAAAGGTCTTACCATCTCTATGAAGAAAATGTCTTTATTTTTTTTACCATGATCCAGATAGCAAACCGACAAAAAAGGGAATTTTATGAAAACCCTTATGACCTCACTCCTCAGTATTTATAATATTATCAGTAACATTATACAGAGGCAGCTGTGGTGGAAACTCTCAGCTCATGGGTTCCAACATTTACCAGCCAGAAGTTCTTATCTTCTTATTGGCCACCTGCCCTAACCTCTCTGTGCCTCAGTTCTCCTCACCTGTGAAATGGGGATCCTAATTAATGGATTGCTAATTACAAAGATTACATGAGATAATAAAAGTTAGAGAAGGGTGCTTGGCACAAAGTCAGTGCCCAAGAAATATTAGCTGTTATTGTTAGTTGCTAATAACTCATCCTTCATCGTGGATTATTAACTATAAATTGGTTCTACTGTGAGAACTGTTTATCCTGGTTATTGCTTGATTCAGATTCTGTACCTTTTTCATAAAGATGTTGTATGACTTCCAAAAAAGGCATATATTTCTGCTCTAGGCAGAACTTACCAAACTCTTAAATTAATCTAAATATTTACCATTTAAGTATTTAAAACAGAAAAGAATTAAATGTTGGTGTCTGTGAAATTTAGTCATTAACACAATTTGGTCCAAGTAGTCAATCATACAACTTTTAGTTCCAATATAAGGGCATTCTTACTTGGCATAACTTAATAAAGTCAAATACTTGGGCTGGAAAAATGAACCCACTTCTACATTACTAATAACAGCACTGAACACATTGAGCTTCCAGTTACTTCTTTGTGCTTTTTCAAATGTGTAGGTGTAGCAAAATTTAAAACTACTTGTCCTAGAGTCTCTGCCATGCTTCTGTGTCCTGCAGTCTGCCCTGAAAGCATATGATGTCCCTGGGAGACGTGAGGATTGTCTGGCAAGGGTGAGAACAGGCAGTGCCAGGATCTTATGACTGAAGACTTGCTCTCTATTAGCTGTAGCTACCAGGGCGTGGCCTGCACCCCCAGTAATAAAATAATGGGCAGCGGTTCACCGACATTATTTTTTTTTCCACCAGCACTTTTTGTGGTATATAGGATGAATACATGTTCCTTTGAGCAGTAATGAATGATAGAATTCAGATGTAAGTGATTTGAATGCCCAGGGTGCTTTCCAGTCCATTTCCTTTACTAGAAATATTCGTGGAGATTTAGTTCCATACACAGTCGGGAAATGCTTAATAAAGAGATAAGGGACCTGAGTAGTGTGAATACTTGGTTAAAGTTGTTTTGTTTTGCTCTTTGAGGCACTAGATGCTACGTCTTCGATAAGGGCAAATTCAATTTCTAATATGAATCATTTAGATTCACATAGACTATCTTATAAACTTACTAACAAGGGAAAACCTAGCTAAACGTGATTTAGCATTTCATCATCTGAGTCTTAGTTAACATTTTCTTAAGATAAAACTCTTCAAATTAGACAGCATGTTCTTGCTTGTGATTCCTCTTTGCCCAGATAATTTCTAATTTAACGTATTTCATTGATAAGAACAAAAAGTGAAGTAGGATAAAGAACTTTTGTGCTGTGGGAACAGGCATGCTTTTCATTATGTTATGTCATCATGTCCCAATGAGATGTTGCCAGTATTTAAAACTTCAGTGGTAACATTACTTCTGGGAAATCAGACAGTGGTGATGTTTTAAAGGCCAGCTGTGTTTTCACCTACTTCTTAGGAAAAATCTTTATTGTTAGGTCAAGAAAAGTATCACATTTTAGGCATAAGTAACCATCGATGCAGACTGCCAGGTTATAGTCCTAAATCTTAGAGGGAAAACGCGTGCAAGTTCTCATTCCCAGTAGAAAGGAAGGCCCTTCGAAACAAACACTGCCACTGTTGTCTCAGGCTTCAGCCGGTCACATGTTATCACATGTTTTGGGGCTAGATGTTGGGTCAAAACAGGGACATATTCATAAAGACCAAACCCGGTGGGAAAAGGAGATAAATGAAATTTAAAATAATACCTAGAAGAGATAATTTGTGGTAGAAGAGACATCTGTGGTGTGGTCCATGGTCACTTTTGCAAATGAGGAGTAGAGCCAGTGAACTTGGTGGTCAGAGGAGGAGCTCCACGGGCTAGAAGTAGAATGTGCTGTAGGCTTTGAGGGATGGGGTCGATTGGAAATAAGAAAAAGAAAACGGGGTATATCCACCCCCACTTAGTGCTTAAAGTGCTGTTCTTACCAAAGGCCCCAGATGTGTTTTTCATACATTTAATGGGAGACATCTGCTCCATTGTGTTGTCTACCTGAGCAAGGAGCTTTAGACTCTGTCATTTGGCTGGAACCTCATCTGCTTGGTTCTTCAGTCCACCCTCTATCGAAAACTTAGAAGATATAGTGAAGGTCACAGCCCATTGTTTAGTGAGCCATTTTGGTTTAGTCAATGAGATTCAAGTGTGGAATTATACTGACTGAGCATAATCCCGCCACATATGTGTTTCATCTAGTCCAGATGTTCAGACATGCATAAAGCCAATCAGTGAGAAGAAACATGTGAACGGCTGTAGAAGAATAGAAGGGAGGGATGGAAATGCACTTTTATTCTAAAAATGGAAACGGTGGTTGTCCACTGGCTTATATTTGTCATGGAGTGAGGGACGTGAAGTGAGAATGGAACACCCGTCAGACATGGCTCCAGGTCTGCACCTGTATTCTCGGGGTGTTGCTGACAAGTCAGGAATGAGGCATTCATGGTATAAATCAAGTCTGTGCTTTTGCTCGGTTGTGCTAAGATCATTAATTCTAGCCTCATAGCAGAGAATATAATCAGAAAGACATGCTAATGCTGGGAAAATGAGGAAAAATAACATTCTTTAACATTCATTTGTCTTAGTGCTTTGTCCTCCAAAATGTTCTGCCTTTGGGCTAGTTATCTGTGGGATACTAAATGCATGTGTTCCTGCTCTGTGGGGTTCTCTAGAGTCCAAGTCACTTCCCATGATTTTTTTTTTCCTTTATGGACTATAAGTCTCTATTGGCAACATCATGTAAATGTATAGACTGAGGCCAAAAAAAGCAAGGTTCAATATCCTGAACCCAGATGAATCCAGTAGAGTTTTTCCTTAATTGTATAATACTGACTGTTTTTCTTGTTTTAACCCTATCTACATATTAACCCTGAATCAGTTTCCTAGGACTGCTGTAACCAAGGACCACCAACTGGATGGCTTAAAACAGCAGAAAGTTATTCTCTCCGTTCTGGAGCCCAGAAGTTCACAGTCAGGGTGTTGGCAGGACCACACTCCCTCCAAAGGCTCCAGGGCTTGTTTCTTCCAGCTTCTGGCTCCTGGTGTTTGATGGCTTGTGTGGCTTGTGGCAGCATAGTTCCAGTTCCTGCCTCTAGGTTTACATGGCTTTACCCGTGTGTCTGTGTGTCCTTCTCTGTCTCACACAAGTACACTCATTGGATAGGGTCCACCCTGATGCAGTATGATCTCATCTCGATCCTTCCCTTAATCGCATCTACAAAGACTCTATTTCCAAATAAGTTCACATTTGGAGATTCTGGGTAGATGTGGATTTGGGGAGGACACTAGTCAACCCACCACCGCCCTGTTTTAAAGCTAGAATCCAAAACGACTGGGATTTGCATTCAAACAAATTCCCATGACCAAATATCCTGCAAGAAAAAATCTCTTGTTAACATTGAGTCCCACAGCTGTTTTGAGTATAAATGACCCACCTCCCTGCAACAAGCCACCTGTTTGGTTATATCGGCGGTGTGCTGTTCCCCTTCTCTGCTTCAGTCAGCTAATTCTCCGTCTGCCTGGATGAGCCCTCACCTTGTTTTGACAGGAGGAAAAACTGCCAGTGACTGAGGATCCTTCCTTTCAATGGGAGGAAGGAAGCAATAATAAATAGAAAACAGAATACGTGGGTACCTTCAAATGAGTCTATTCTGTCCTAAGGCTTGCTTGGTCTCCTAGGTCATATGCCAAAGCATTTTCAGCCAGTCTCAGGATATTTGTGTTTTTTTTTTTTTTCTTTATTGATTTTAAAGAGAGAGGAAGGGAGGGAGAGAGAGAGAGAGAAACATCAATGAGAGAGAACATCGATTGGCCGCCTCCTGCATGCCCCCTACAGGGGATTGGGCCCACAACCTGGGCATGTACCCTGACCAGGAACCGAACCAGTGACCTCTTGGTGCATAGGTTGATGCTCAACCACTGAGCCACACCGGGTGGATGGTTTTAAGCTGACTGGTTTTGAAATCTATAGCCTAGCCTTAGAAAACATCTTTTTAAATTGTGTAAGTGGAGGTGAAGTGACTCAAATGTAAGGAAACAAGATCAGCCCCAACTCATTGGTGCCTTCCCCTTCCTCCTCCCGCAGCTTCTCCACATTAAGGCTTCAAGGAACCTACTGAATGGGGAGCCCTACCCAGCACCTTTTGTGATTTGAGCATCTGTTTCTCTATCCTGGGGTTGTCATCATTTTTCTTTAACAGCATCTGGAAGAAACAGTTGTTTACAAAAAAAATAATGTATAGCCTTTGTCCACACTTTCTCTCAACAATCATTTCCTGAGCACCTGTTTTGTGTCAGGCATTGTGTCCTCCTGGGGCTGGGGATGGGGGTGAATAAAGGCAACAGGGACCCTCCCTCATAGTCAACTCCTGCAGGCCCCTCTCATAACCAGTCTTTCGATACAGGGGATGGCTTCCTGCCCCTTAAATCTCTGTTTTAGGAAAACTACCCACCATGCAGGAAACTGGGAAACCAGCAAACCTCCTGTGGGCAGGGAGGGGATGAGGCTGGGCCTTAAATTTTCACAAGGAAGGCTGAGTGGGAAGGAGATATAAGTAGTGAACAGAGGAGAGGACTGTCTTATTCTTAAACTGTATAAACTTTGTTAAGAACTAAAACTCAGCCCCGACTGGTTTGGCTCAGCGGTTAGAGCATCGGCCTGCGGTCCAGAGAGACCTGGATTCGGTTCCCGCTAAGGGCACGTACCTCAGTTGCAGTTTGTCCCCAGCCATGGTTGGTCGTGCGGGTGGCAGCCACTCGATGTGTCCCTTTCACGTTGATGTTTCTTTCTCCCTCTTTCTCTCTCTCTCCCTCCCGCTCTATCTGAACAAAAAAATGGGAAAAAATGCCCTCATCAGGCGAGGATAAAAAAAAAAAGAACTAAAACCTAGCGATGGCAACCCGTGAGCACATGCCAAGTGCAAACTTGGGAAGTTGTACAGACTTCATGGATTGCCAGCTGGGGTTGCTTTGTATTAACGAAGTGTTTCAGCCCCAGATGTCAACAGTAAGAAAATGTCTCTCGATATAAATTATGACACCCATTTAATATCGGTAAGACAGTTTTTGTCAGAAGAGTGGCAGAAAGAAGCATAGTTACCACCATGTTCAATTATAAGGAAAAGAAAACTAAAGATGCCAAAGTAAAAAGCTTAAGTTCACACATCCTAACGGCAGAGAGCAACACTCACTAAGATAGTGAAGATTCCAGTGTTTATTCAAACTTCTAAACTCCGAGACTCAGATTGAGACAGGAAGCAGAACATCTGTTGTGCCACTAAATCTGTCAGGAAGGCTGATGATAGTCTTGGGACAAACTTGAGAGTGAAAGGACTGTGGTCTGGGAACCTCTGCCCTCTAGATGCAGAGGCTCGGAGGCCGCAGCAGCACCACACATGGGATCATGTCCTCCGGGCCGACAACAGAAGGAAAGCCCAAAGATTGCTAATGGGACCAAGGGTCTCATAGGTGGGACTCTTGTCCCTGACTAATGTGGAGACACCAGGCCTTCAGAAGAGTAGTACCTCAGGGGCGGGGCAGGCTGGGGAGTAGAATTTAAACACCCGTGAGGACTGAAGCACTTACATCTTGATGTTTCAAACTGGTCAGAAAGACCAAAAATGAGAAATAAATGCTTGTTGACCTCCCATTCATTTGCATATTAGGTCAATATTTTTGTTTAGGTCTGCATTTCGCACTAAATCAATTATATCTTTTCCATGGATAAGGTAACAGTGATAGGGTATTTTTCTTGACAGCCATTTGACATATCCATGCATTGCTTCCTTATGTGGAAATGAACTGCAGATGTGCGAAGACAGAAATGGCCACATACATTTTTAATAATGTTTCCAAGTTGATAAAACTCCTTCCCTCCAATGCCAAGGTGTCATTTATAAAGAACGGGATTTATGAGAGTGACTATGCATAGCCACATAAATATCTTTCTGTGCACACTTGATTTGCTCACTTTTGCGGTCCCTTCCATGCTAGGCTTTCTTGCTGCTGCTACTTTCTTTTCAACAAGGAAAGAATGATTTATAGTATTGTTTTATTCCCGACAACCATCTTCACTCCTTAGTAGCATTTCTCTTGGTAGCAATAGTAGCTACAGATGTGTACATTCTACTATCACTTTCTCTGGTTTTGACCGTTACTTACAAAAATGTATGTTAGTAGGCTAAATTTTACCTTCTGCAGCATTGCTTTGCTGATATTTTTATGTTCTTACTTGCATAAGAATAAAAGTTATATCCATACTTGTTATGAAAAAAAATAGAGAGGGAAGAATAAATTGAATAAATACTTCTTGCTTTACAAGAATCCAGGTATTTATTTATTTAAGTCCTCACCTGAGGATATGTTTATTCATTTGAGAGAGAAAGAAACATCGATCAGTTGGCCTCCATACATGCCCCAATGGGAGATCGAACGTGCAGGCTTTTTTGTGTACAGAACAACACACCAACCGAGTGAGCCACCTGGCTGGGGCAAGAGTCCGTTTAAATTAGTAGGATTGAAAGCACATAACAATGGTACTTGAAGTGGAACCTAAGCCAACCTGTGAAGTGGAAAGTCAGATCCCACAACGAGGACTTCCACACCTGGGTACAGCTTTGTTAATCTAAGCAGGAATGTAGACATCAGAGGTTTGCCACCCATTTGCAGAATTGCCTTTGCTCAGCCCTTTTACCTTCAGCAAGTGGTGAATCACTTGACCTCCTATTGCGTGGTATGGTTTGTGTTTTAGATGCATGGCAGGATCAGGTCACTGGGGCCATTCTCTAGTTACCAGCGCTTGCTTTTTCTGGATTACCTAAAATCAGTTTTCCCCCCACCACCTCCTTTGTGGTGGGAAGAATTTCTTGCAATACTGGCCCTTCCAGGAAGCACTGCATTTCCCTGCCAGCCTGGTGTGTTGTTTGTTTGTTTATTATTTCCTTCATTGATTTAAGAGAGAGGAAGGAGGGAGAGGGAGAGAGAGATAGAGACATCAATGAGAGAGGACATCGATTGGCTGCCTTCTGCATGCCCCCGCTGGGGATTTGGCCCACAATCTGGGCATGTGCCCTGATTGGCAATCGAACCGGTAACCTCTTGGTGCATGGGTCAACACTCAACCACTGAGCCACACCTGCCAGGCCCTAGTTCAGTGTTTAAAACCCAGTGAGCTTCACCAGCCCTTCCTCACTGGGCAGGTTGTGCCTGGGAAGGCTGTGGGCCAGTACGTGGATGAGGAGAGGAACCCAAGTGATGTCATTTTCTGCTGTATTTTCAGGGCTCCTTCCAGAGGTTTGATAGTTGGGGTGCCATGTTTCCTTGTGGCTTTTTGCTATTTCTCTCAGTGTATAACCCCCCCTCAGTGAGCTTCATAACTAAGTAAATAAGAATATGCAGGTCATGCCTTAGAAGGTAGAGAACATCTCAGCTGGCACAGCTGGGCCTGGCTTCACAGTTTGAAAGGGAAAGCTAGGGGACTTGGAGGACTGCCCGCTGCATGTGTGGCAGTTGTGGAATTCACCCCAGTTGACCATGTTGGTTTGTTCTCAGGGCGGCAGGAGCAGCTGGATGCGCAGCGCATGGAGGACTATGTGAACGCCGACCACGACCTGTATTATAAGACGCGCCGCTCAGTGGAGCCCCCATCGGAGAGGCCCGGGGAGCGGCGCCAAGTGGAGATGAAGCGCTTGTACGGGGACAGTGCCGCCAAGATCCAAGCCATGGAGGCCGCCGTGCAGCTGAGCTTTAACAAGCACTTTGACCGAAAGCGACCCAAATACTGGCCAGTCATTCCACTGAAATTTTGAGCCTTAGGCCCTGGGTCCCCAGCCATCACCCCCTTCCTCTGGGATTTGCTCCTTCATTTGCTTCTGAGCATTTTCTCGAGGAACGGGACTTTGTCCTGAAAAGTCAACATGTTCACCAAAGTGCCAGTGGGACCATCATTGGGTGGGATGTAATATGTCAGCCATTTTTAAGCAGCAGGGGTGTACTGTTGCCAATGTGAGAGATTGTCTTTTGACATAAAATGATCATTTCGTATACGTTACACTGTTCAGTTCATTGAAGTTCTCGCTTAGAGATACTGCTTAGTTTTTTTTGTCTGTTTCTGCTTTCTTCTATCTTTAACCCAACTGAGCTCCGCAGATGCCTTAAATGTGTCAGCTGTGGTCTCCTACCAGAACTCCTGTAGCCCCCACTGAAAATGCTCCAAGCATGCAGCCAGTGACCACCTGTCTTCCTGCAGAGGTCAACATGCATGTGTTTCAAAGGGCCAGAGTTCATATATTTGGCTTTTCAGGCCACAGGTCTGTGTCGTGACTTCTCAGTTCTGCCCTTGCAGCCTGAAAGCAGCCATAGATGATAAGTAAACAAGTGGGTGTGGCTATGTTCCAACTAAACTTTATTTGTAAAAATAGGCCATGGGCCAGATTTGGCCTCAGAGCAGTAGTTTGTGGACCCCTGCTGTAAGAGATGAAACTACCTCTCTGACATTCTTCTTATCTCTTTACCTCTGCAGAGTTTGAATGTCATACAGAACTGAGAACAAAGAACAGTCATTCCCAAACCTGCTCCCCTCTGCAGTCTCCTGTGTTGTCAACAAGGTATAATTGAAATTTTACCTTATGTGGCAAATATCGTTTTAATAAGAGAATACATTTCTGAGAATGAAAATCTAAAAACTGATGAAACAGTCCATTTAAAAAAGCCAGCTGCCTTTTAAATAAGTTATTACAGTGCATTGCAGGGTCAGCCTTGTTGACCTGAGAAGATGAGCACATCCATCAAAGGTTGGTGAAAAGATTTAGTATTGACATGTTTTTCCCTAAGAACACTTAGCTGCACATTTCAGCCCCTGCCCTGTGACAAATGCATTACTTTCATCAGCCCCAGGTGCTTGGTTTTCCAAGCCCTCATTTTATTACTGGAGTTGCAATTTGAGCTTGGGTATTGCAGACAAAAATCAGGATTAATTTCCCCTGAGGTGACACATGACTAAAATTTCAAGTCTTTAATAGTTCTCTGTTTTATTTTAAACTCATATGCCCAAAAAGAAAATAGATGTGACTCAGGCACAAATACAAACCAATTGTATTTGCAGCCGGTTCTTAGCCATTTGAGAGGGAAATGTTTCTCTTTACAAAAGACTCTTCTTCCTTTCCCCAAAGAAACCACCATGCTGGCTTTGTGACTTGGGACTTCAAGTTACTTTCATCTCTCAGTGCATCATGTCCCTTGATCCTCAAGTGGGTATTAATTCCTCCACATGGGGTCCTTGTAAGGACCACATTGAGTTAGTGCCTATAAAATATAGTGCTGGCCGCACAATAAATATTCAGTACTTGTTGACACTTATTTATTCCCTGTCTTTAAAAATTGCCAGAGAGCCAGTGGAAGTCCTGGGTATGAAACTTCTTCCTATTATAGAGAAATGTTTCTGTCAGTTGTTCAAATGGATGCATTGGCTTCTCACATCTCATTCCTACCAGTCCTTCTTCCCAGATGCCTCATGGATCAATTGCAATCAGAGGGACCTATGACTTGTTTATTCATTTATTCAGCAAATACTTGAGCCCTTTCCATTCCAGTCAGCTAAACCATAGTCTCTTCCCTGGGGGAACTTGCATTCTAGGAGGAGAGGCAGACAGACAGGTGTGCAATGAGAATTGCAATATGTGCACTGCTGGACGCATGCTCAGGAACCGCAAGAGCATTGGAAAGAGAGGCGTGAGGGCAGGGCTTCTCAGCCTCAGCACTATTGGCATTTGGGACTGATCGTTCTTTGTTCTTAAAAAAAATACATACTCTGGACACATATGTACTAAAATTGAGAAAGTTGGCATGCAAATGGTTTATACGCACCAGCTTCAACATAGTGGGTAATTATGAACAGGGAAGGGATTGGAGTGCCAGTCAAAAGGGGTTTTTCTGTCTCTGATGTTTAGTTTCCTTATAACAGAAAAGCTGTGGTAGGAACTCAGCTTTGGTAGAGGCCCCCAGGTTCATCAAACTATTCTGACGCAAAATATTGCATTTCGCTTCATTTCTAGGGTTACCTGTTACACGAAATGTTTGTCAAATACTTATATAGGGCTTATTGTGATCTTCTAATTGCTTTTCAAATATTAACTTCTTCAACAATCAACCTATGATGACCTATGAAGTAGCTATTACAGGTACACATCCTGTTTTCCAAAACCATTAGGTCAGGTGTGTTTCAGAAGTCAGATATTATCTTGCTTTCAACTTCATTCAGGTCAGGTTTTGTCATCAAATCCTTACGGTTAAGTCAGGTTTGGCTGCCAAATAAATTATTTTTTTTAAAAAAGCAACTTCTAGTTTCCAGAGCTTTGGGGATTTCAGAAAAAGGGTGAAGGAATATTCCCATTTCGTAGATGACTAACCTGAAAGCACAGAGAAATGAACCAACTGAACTAGGTTTACTTTCAGTAGTGCAAGTGACTGTCAAACCTGGATATTCTGACTCCTAAACTGCCCACCTTTAGCTGCTTCATCCTGCTGAACTCAGCCTCTACAACTATACTGTCAATATATGTGAGGCACACTATGCAAAGCATCACAGAGTCTGGAGCCACTTACAGCCCTCAGCAGGATTCCAGTACGTTCTATGCTAGAGCATAGAGTTAGGTCCTAGCCCTAGCTCTGCTTGAGAATGTGACTCTGGATAATGCATTTGCACTTTTTGTCTGAATTTTAGAGCTGAGGCTATAGCAGCGAGAAGAAGGAGGGATACACTTGAAATACTGAGGAAATAGACGTTCCATGCATGGGTTCGTGACTTGTGGCAGGTGAGGAAAAGTCTAGGATGGCTCAGATTTCTATCTTGGATGGTGGTTCTAGTTATTGAGGTAAAGGAAACAATGAGAAACCTGTTTGGGAAGAAGGATAATTCTATTTGGGACACAGTTTGAAGGGCTCACAAGGCATCAAGTGACATCTCGTCAGTCACTGGATATTTGAGTTTGAAACTCAGTGGAGAGGGTCGGCATTAAAAAGACTTGAGTCCTCAGCCTTAGGAATATGGAAAAGACTAGGCAGAATGGACCAGTGACAGTGAGCCCTGAGGAACATGACTTCAAAACATAAGTAAGAGGAGTCTGTGCAGGGAACTGAGAAGAAACGACAAAGATAAAGAGGAGGAAAAGCAGGAGCTAAAGGTGTCTCAAAAAGAAAACTGTGACAATATGCATTCTGCTGGGATACATTAGGAAGTTGACATCACCACCAATGAAGTATTTTTGCAAATACGTGTGTGTGTGTATCAAATATATTGCAAATATTTTTGTAAATATACATGTGTATATATAACAGAATCTAGTTAAGACTCTACATCTAAGTACCAATCTACAGGAATTTCAGGGAGTAGACTAACATTTTAAACACACTGAAGATACAATCAGCCAAATCTAGAATGAGGGAAATTTGATAGGACAAAAACCCAGTTTTTTCAACAAATGGATTTTGTAAAATATGTTCTTATTGATTTTTTTAGAGAGAGAGAAAAACATCGATCAGCTGCCTCCTGCACACTCCCTACTGGGGAACGAGCCCACAGCCCTGACCAGGAATTGAACCCTGACCTCTCAGTCCATGGGACGACGTTCAATCCACTGATCCACACCTGCCGGGCAACAAATGGACTTTTTAAAAGTATGTGTTGCAGAAGAGGTTGATTAGCAGGGGGAGGAACTGTTCTAAGATGTAATGTATGAACTTTGTATGGATCCTAATTTGAACAAATTAATTATTAAAAGTCTGGGGAGGAATTTGAATATGGAATGAGTGTTAGAGGATCATTCTTTTATGGTTATGTTTTTTTTTTTTATTCTTATCTGAACTCTTTACAGTTGAACTCACATGCTGTCTTTGATTTCCTTTAAAGTATTCCAGTGGCAGAGCATGGGAGAGGTGACAGTTAAACCAAGATCAACCAAATGTTGAGACTTGTTGAAGCTGCAAGATGGATACATGGAAACTCATTATGCTCTTTTCTCTAGCTTTGTTTATGTTTGAGAATTCCACAGTAAATTTTTAGAAAATGAAATGGAATTTGAAGGAAAGAGATTACTAATACTGTCACAGAAAGGTCTGGTAAAGTAAACAGAAAAGGAGACTTTGGCCCGACAATCTAGAAACCACCATAATGTAAAGAACCTTAAAGCAATCAGTGGATGAGGGGGAAGAAAACCAAATTTTATATCAAAAGCTAACATACTGGCAGGGATGGGGGGTGGGGGGTGATGCATGTCAGAGGGACACAGGAGCCAAACTGAAAGAGCTCCCAGTGGCTAAACAGGAACAATTTGAGCAACAAACTATGTAACAAGAGTATCAGATTGTAATCCAAAGTATAAAAGAAATACACGTGAGTTCATACTGATAAATAATTGAATAATAAATGGGAAGAAGAGACAGATTTTTCTTACAGAAGAATTCCAGCCCTGGCTGGTTAGGCTCAGCGGTTAGAGCGTCAGCCCAAGGTCCACAGAGACCCGGGTTCGGTTCCCGCTAAGGACATGTACCTTGATTGCAGTTTGTCCCCGGTCCCAGTTGGGGGTTGTGTAGGAGGCAGCCACTCGATGTGTCCCTTTCACATCGATGTTTCTCTCTCTCCCTCTCTTCCTCTCCCTCCCTCACACTCTGTCTGAACAAAAATGGAAAAATGTCCTCAGGTGAGTATAAAAAGAAAAAAAAAATAATAATTCCAAAGAATATCTATAGATACTGCCCCCTCTAGGAGACAGACCTTATTCTCCCTCTCCCGCTGAGTAGGGGCTAAATGAGTGACTCACTTCCAGAGAACAGCACAGAAAGGGGAAAATAACTTTCAGTGGAAAAACCTGGCAGACACCGCATCATTTAAGTGCTCAAGGTTAACATGACCAGTGATAAATTCTGTGGGTACAATGTGCTCCCTGATGTGATGTGATCTGACGTGATGAGAAGGGCACTTCGCCTCTCGTAATCTCAAAACCCATCACCCCAGTCTAATCATGAGAAAAACATCACATAAGCCCGAATGCAGGGACGTTCTATAAAATACCTGACCAGTACTCTTTAAAACCCTCCAGGCTATGAGAAACAAGGAAGACAGAAGCTGTCACGGAAGAGACTAAGGAGACATGATGACTAATTGCAATATGGGATCCTGGAATAGAAAAAGCATATTAGTGGAAAAACTGGTGAAATCCAGATAAAGTCCACAGATTCATTTAATAGGAATGTGCCGATGTTAATTTCTCAGTTTTGACAAATGTACCATAGTTTTGTCAAATGTTAACAATATGAGAAATTGGATGAAGGTATATTGGAACTCGATCTGATCTTCACAGTGTTTCTATAAATCTAAAATAATTTCAAAATGGCTCTGGCTGGTTTGACTCAACAGTTAGTGTGTCAGCCCATAGACTAAAGGGTCTCAGGTTCAAGTCCCAGTCAAGGGCACATACCTGAGTTGCAGGTTCAATCCCCAGTCCCAGTGGGGGTCGGGTGGGAGGCAACCAATCGATATACAGTGATACCTCGGTTCTCGAACACCTCGGATTTCAACCAAATCGGTATTCGACCAGGAGATTCGAGAAACTTTTGTCTTGGAATCCGAACAAATATTTGGAACTCGAACTTCCGAGATGAGCCGAGTTGAGCCGAATGGCGTTCATTCGGCCCAGCGCGCCTTGCTCGCGTCATCAGTGTGAGTGCAGAGAGAGAGTCACGCTTTACACTGAATTTAACCCTTAGACATACTGTACACTTTTATTTCTTGTTGAGACTTATGTTTTTCTACATATTATATACAAATTAGGCCAGTAAATAGGCATTTTCTGGGGCTTGGAACGAATTAATCCAGTTTCCATTACGTATTTCCTATTGGGTTTCATTGCTTCGGTTCTCGAACAATTTGGTTCTCGACCGTCCTCCTGGAACGAATTATGTTCGAGAACCGAGGTATCACTGTATCTCTTACATTGATGTTTCTCTCTCTCCCTCCTTCCCTTCCTCTCTATCTAAATGCATCAATGGAAAAATACCCTTGAGTGAGGATTAACAAAAGATAGAAATAAATAAAATAATTCCAAAATAAAAAGTTTTATTTTTTATTTTATTTTTTTTATCCTCACCTGAGGATATTTTTCCATATTTTGTACAGATAGAGCGAGAGGGAGAGAGAGGAAGAGAGAGAGAGAGAAACATCGATGTGAAGGGACACATCGAGTGGCTGCCACCCGCACGACCAACCAGGGCCGGGGACAAACTGCAACCGAGGTACATGCCCTTAGCGGGAACCGAACCCGGGTCTCTCCGGACCACAGGCCGACGCTCTAACCGCTGAGCCAAACCGGCCAGGGCCAAAATAAAAAGTTTTAAAATAAAAATAGAAATTTAGTATTGATTTTTGTTAATTGTATGTATGTGGAACTCTCGTTCCACCTTTAAAAGGGGGAGGTATATAGTGCAGGACAATTTGCATGTTTCCTGCTTTCTTTCTCCTAACAACACAATGAAGCATGATCCCCAGTTTTCTGATGAGCAGTTTGAAAGTAAGAAAAAATAACACGCCTAATGGCTTTAGATGGGGTAGAAAAATGGGGAGTGACCGCTAATGGGCTCAAGATTTCCTTTCGAGGTGATGAAAATGTTTTGGAACATAGACGTGGTTATACAATGCTGAGAATGCACTAAATGCCACTGAATTGTTCACTTTAAAATGGTTACTTTTTTTTCTTTATTGATTTTAGAGAGAGAGGAAGGGAGAGGGAGAGAGGGATAAAAACATCGATGAAAGAGAACATCAATGGGTCGCCTCCTGTATGCCCCCCACTGGGGATCAGGCCCACAACCTGGCAATTTAATCGGCGACTTCTTGGTGCATGGGTCGACGCTCAACCACTGAGCCACACCAGCCAGGCTAAAATGGCTACTTTTGTGTTATATAAATTTCAGCTCCATGAAAGAAAATGTAATATTTAAAAAAAAAAAAAAAAAGATTGAGAAGCTGTAGTCTAGAGATTGAAAAACCTGGAGAGTGATGGGCAGAAATCATGTGGTATTAATATTTCTCAATTTCTTTTTTTTGGCCAAAGAACAATTGTTCCACAAAATAGGTATCAGTACATGACAGAACACTTACTCCATAAGACAGTTTGAGAAACACTTTTTTTAATTGAATGAGGCCTCATTTTAACAACAAGAACAATGTAGGAATTTTATTTGGCTATAGGTGTCATAGAAGCCACCTACATGGCTTCGGGAAATTGAGAGAAGAAAAGGATTACAGACCAGTTTAAGAAGAAGCTGTATTTGGGCTCAGTGTATTCCTAGAGAGGATAGATTTGGTGATATGTAGATGACATGGACACACCCTCCAGGTTACTAACAAAAGGCATATTATACTGTTGTGTATGGGAAACAGAATGTACATCCATCTGCCAGATTCCCAAGGTTCTCAGATCTGGCTGCACATTAGAATCACTTGGATTGTTCTCTAGCCAATTAAATAAAAATCGCTGGCAGTGGGGGCCCAGAAACTGCTGATTTTTTAAAGCTCTCCAGGTAATCCGATGTGCAGACAGGGTTGAGCTGTTCTCAAATGGTATGGGGATACACTGATGTTCAGTTTGGAGTGTGGTGTTCTCCACTACATCTCAAACTTGAGCATGAGTGACAATCACCTGGGCAGCTCGCTAAAACAGATTTCTGGGACCTACTGTGAGATTCAGATTTAGTAATATGGACTGGGTGGGGCCCATGAACTGTTTTGCTATTAAGCTCCCAGGTGATGCTCATAATGCTGGATCATGGATTTTACATTGAGTAGCATTGATATCAGCAATGTGATGACAATAAAGGAACAGCAGAAGGCGGCTCGCAAATGGTTTGCTTTCTTCAAGTATAATCCACAAAAGTGAATTCAAGTGTTTGAAATGGAGACAGCGTGGTGGCGTTAGGGCAGCTGAGCCAGGACTTGAAACTATCCCACAGCTCTTCACTCTCCATGGCATGTACATTGTGATGGGGAGAAGGTCAGGGGCACCTGGGCTAGCATTGTGGGTTCGTGAAGGAGAGTGATGTCCCAGAAGTACTGAAACGGGCCTATTTGTGAAGGGTCTTCCCTGCTAGACTATAAACACTAAACAACTGCAAGGTCTTTACAAAGGCCTGGACTGAACAAAGCCATTTTTCAAGAAAAAGACATTTGCAGTATCTGTTC